CCTCGCTTTGGACATAAAGGGCCATTCAGCGGGGGCTGTATTTTGACAGATCGCTCTGTGCCACATCCATACCGCACTGCTGACATGCAGATGAACCTGAAAATTCAATGAGATCAAGGAGAAACTGGCTCTGCGTTTCTCAAGCTGCTCATACAGCAGTCGCCTTAAACCCGAGTATCGGGAAAGCACCGTCTCCGCCTCTAAAACTGTACCTGTGTGTATTTTCTTCTAAACACGTATTCTTGCATTTTTCACCTTAAACATATAGTAGCCTATTATGTGACTTTTCGCAGTTAGGGGTTTGAAACAACGTTCTTCCATGTCAGAGCAGTTGTGTGCCTTTCGATCGCCGCTTATTTGTGATATATGCTAACAGCGATACGCCACATTCTTCTCCAATTCACTTCACCACGACACCCCCCAGGCTCCTGGCGCCCCCACCTCGAAATACTACACTTTGATTAGCGATTTATTATAATCACGATCTAGACCTTATGAATCTAATTAGAAATATTAAAATGTTAAACAATGTAAATACTGCTTTGCGCTTACTGGCCGCTTATACGTCATCATTAAACTGCACAGTATTTAGCATTTTATTTAAATTCAGACTGTATATAATCTTCAGAGAATTTCAATTAATGCTTGAACTAAGGCTACGACTTTTCCGATTTAGGGTCGCCAGTGAATGAAATTTGTATGAATTTCTGGAGAAATTATAACTAATTGAGTATAACGCATTTATTGGGCCTAATAACTAATGTTTCTTATGATTTATAGATATATATATATATAGATATATATATATATATATATATATATATATATATATATATATATATATATAGGATCGTATAAGCGCTGTGTTTAAATTTAGGAAATAATACACTAAATCAATGTGACAGTGATTAAGGTATTATTATTGATGCTGTTTGTCAGAAAGTTTCGTTAATTTTTTTCAAATAGTTTTTTTATCATTCAGCCGTCACTTAGTGAAGCATTACCTCGATTGCAAAAGTATACCTAGTGCCGCTTTGCCACTCGCCGGTTTCAGTTCCTTGCCCTGACCTGACGGGTTTATTCCTCCGCATTCCTGCCGTACTCCAAACGATAAACATCCTCGTTTCAAACTGAGGCCAGGAAGTCTGTAAAGACAGGAATTTAAATCTTTCAAAATCCATTAGAGCTGAGGTCCAGTTAGAGAGCCATGTTCGCTTTATTATTTACATGCGGGCTACGTTATGCCACAGGCGCGCGCACGTGCGCGCGCACACACACACACACACACACACTTCGCCTAATGACTGCTGTTATTATCATCATTTATATCATTTAGTCGTTAATACCAAGAAATGTCACTGCCCGTGTGCTGCATCGTTATTTTTGATATTATTTGGACTTCCACACTTACTGAAATAGTGACATTTGAATCGCATGAATTATTATATACCATACCATAGTCGAATTGAGGGCAATGAATATCAAATGTAGTTTTAGTAGTCGCTAATATTTTATGTGCAAAACCACATATATATTCTTGCTACTAGGGCGATTTTACTGTTAGCCTATACATTATTCATTTTCTAAAAAACCTCAAATCTCAAAACCTTCCATATTTCAGCACATCGTCTGTCTAGTATGAGCATTCTGTAATGTAAGAAATTGTATTTTTTTTGTCAAAATCTAAAATAAACTCTTGCGGGAAGTGGATGTTTATTGCGGTTTTGCGGCGTCAATTTGCGGCTGCAGTGAATACGCGCGCACGAGCTGTGAATCATGGAAAAAAAAATTAACAATGAATCCATATAAAGTTTTTCTCTGCTGCGTTCTGTCACCTCAATGAAATGCTCTAAATTACATTTTCTTTTACAGTTACGGCCCATTGATCACTTAGATTTTTATTGTAAATTATGGCAAACTTTGAGTGAAATTAAACAATAATCAGAACTGAGCGGTTCTAAATGTGAGCATAACAGTCTAAATGCGTTTTAAATAATGCGCAATCTAATAATATGTAATACTACTAAAACTGTAATATTTTATCCAAATTAATGAAACTTTCTGTCTCTCATTTTGACATAAAATTATAGTTTGTTTTATTGCGTGTGAATGGAGAGAGTTAAAAACAAAAGGATCCACTGATTTTTGTGCTGTTTTGTTGTTTTTGTTCAGCCCAGAGTCTGTTCCGGTAAACACACAATGTCATGACATTTTTTTTACAGTTGGTTGCTTCTCTTCTGACAAACTGTTAATACGCGAGTATTGGCTAGTGATGCTAGTGAATATGCTAGTGAATATGCTAGTGAATATTCAGCATATTCTTTGCCAAATTAAACTAGTATTAAAAATGGCATGTTATAATTGAGACAAGCATTTACATTGTCAGGTGTTTATGTATGTTGTCTATGTCATAATTGTTGAAATAATAAGTCTATTTGTAAAACTGACATATAGCTATCTGTAATGTATTCTTGCTTGTAGAAATGCATTTTTCCAGGTATTAAATTAATTTAGGGGCGCAGTTTTTAAGAAAGCAATTACAGATAAACGCCAACCATTTAATATTCTTATATCCATTTAAATTCTCCTTGCAAGCTTTTCATTTCGGAGCTTTGCATGGTCTTTATCCGTCTATATCCCATTTAAAAGGCGTTTGTTTTCGTCGCAAAGAAAGCAAACGACAAGCAATTAACATTCCTTGAAGGCACTAATGCAAGATGAGTTCGGGTTTCACGCTCGCGCCGCGCTCGCTTTGACATGCTTAACGTGTTTATTTACTGCTTGTCGTGACGTTACGAAGTCAATCTGGCCCAGATGCCGCGGCCAGGTGAGCGAATTCACCTCCCGTTTCATGCATTCTCTTAGTAGCCTTTAAAGTCAGTGGAAATCATCAATGGTCAGAAGGAAACAAATAAATGCTATGAAGTTGAAGTGATTCAGAAAAAAATATTATTTGTTACGTTTTTGCAAGGAAATCCGCTGGGATAATTAGGCGTATTTGTTGAGGTTATAGAAATTGTGTATTGGATAAAGAGGTTATCATCTTGGTTTGAAAATACAAATGTCATCATATTGAAATCGAGTCTCTTGCATGTAGTTAAACGGCAAAATTACATGTGTGAAAAATGTGCATGATAATTGCGGCGTTCTAAGCGCGAAATGTAAACACGCCCTTAAATAAACCAGCTATAGTGCAAATAATAAATGTATCCTTTGTATTATTATTATTATTATTATTATTATTATTTACTAATATGACTACAACAGTGTACAAATGTATTATTTATTAAGTTAATGTTGACGCAGCCCTTCAATTATATCAGAGGGTCCAATTAAAAATCAGTTAAACCAGTTAAAAAATAAATCAGTATGTATCCTTAATATATATCGTGTATATCGTGTACTGCGATTGATCGATGGGCAACAATTGATGGTGGTTTCACTGTTCACACAAACTGGTGACCGCTGATTGTACTCTGTTTGTCTTCTGCGGCATTGTGTCTTCGATCCCCAATGCAAGAGAGCCGAAAACTCTCAAAAGGACACAGGGGAAGACTAAACATGTATTACAAACACGAGATGCCGTTAAAGAAAGCAGCAATATCAGTCAAACTTGACAAAGCTTTTGTTATGTCTGCCATTCACTTGTAAACTTCGACTTCTTCAATACGTACCCAACGCACGGCGCAGAGAAAAAAACAAACTGTTGCATAAAGTTATTATTTTTTAGTGTTATAGATGTCAAAACGAATATCAGAATGGATTAAAAAATATAATTTGTAAAAATATTCTTAACGAAAATTAAGTTTCAGTATTAATGCGGTCTTGGAAATGTGTAGGCTGGCTACAATATTTCACTGATTTTTCGCAAGTTAAAAATTGCTAACAATTATAAATGCATGCTACATTTTCTAGAATTTGTATCGATATTTAGTTTTTCCTTGCGATTTCTTATCCGTTTATGTAATTATAACTAACTCAAAATAGAAAGTACAACGTACCACGCATATAGAAGCGATCCTAATTTATTAAGTCGTGGAGTCTCCGAGCGAAGGTGCCGTATACCGCTGGCCTGCGTTATGAGCGACAGGCTTTGCGTTTAGGGGACACGCACAGCTTGTTTCTCCTTCGTCGGGCTGGCTGATCTGAGAATAAGCCTTTTCGGAATCCCGCTTCTGGGCGGCTGCTGAGCGCTGGTGAACGGAGGCCAGGACTGCGAGCCTTTGGGGAAGCGATGACAAACGGGACAATGGTGCTACACCTGCGCTGGCTCACGATACGCAAAACTGTTTCTACAGAAGGGCTGTCCAGACCCGCATGGGTGGTCAGTGAAATGTATAGTCTTTCTATCCACCTCCCCCATAACGCGAAGCATGAACTGTTCCCAATAAATGGCTAAGGAGGTTCAGAGAAAGGTCTTTAAAAGAAACAATACTTTAATTTACTTAAATACTTAAAATTAGTTTAAAAGTTTAAGTGCAATCATTATGTGACAATAACACAATGCGGAAGCCGACTCTTTAAAGACTTGTGTTTAAAAAATAATACATCTACTTCAATTAACAGCAGATAGAATGTCACGCATTTCATTATAATTTGAATTAATAAGTTACATCAGGGCTTATCAATTATCATGTCTTGACGAGAAACGAAGAAGTCATACAGATATAAATTTTCAAATATTTTTTTCCTAATGTTAGGCGTGTAATTTCAGCAAATGGAACAGCCTACGACGTTATCATTTACTTGCTCTCACTATAAACAGTATCCTTGTCGAGTTTCTAATCAAAAATAAATAATATTATCTGACATTTGCCTCCTCCCCCAAAAGCCTCGTATGTTATTTCACGGCTCATGCATAATAACGGTAATAATCTTGCTAATTTCGGTCATCTGAAGTGCGGGGTAGACTGGCTGCCCCGGAGTAACGAGAAAAAAATGACGGAAGCGGAACAAGCTGCGCCATGCAAATCAGAAAGCAATACATCATCAGTGGATACATGAGAAAGCGCGGTGGAGGGGCATTCGGCTCCCGAAAGGGAGAAAAGGCAGGACTTGCAGAGGGACATAACCACAACCTGGGCTGTGGTTGTAACAGAAACAAACTCTTCGGAAAGAAAACGAACTAACTGCTTTATGGCATAAAGGTTTGGTGCTAAATACCGCAGACGTCGTGAATGAGCCATAAGGAGCTGTAATAGAAATATCCAAGAAGACATTCAAGACGAAGTGCGAAAGGACATATTGCTTTTATTGTTGATTTTTTTTTTCAATCGATTATTATCACCTCTTATTTTTTCTTTCTTTCGTATTGTTTTTATTTCGTGTGCGTAATGATGGCCACTTACCAAAACCCCGAAGATGACGCAATGGCTCTAATGGTCCACGATACCAACACAGCCAAGGAGAAGGATCGACCCAAAGACGAGTCGATCCAGGAGAAGAATTCGGAGAAGACAGACCCGTCTCAGAAACCCCCTTACTCCTATGTTGCGCTTATTGCCATGGCCATCCGCGAGAGCTCGGAGAAAAGGCTCACGCTGTCTGGCATATATCAGTACATAATTTCTAAGTTCCCTTTTTACGAGAAAAACAAGAAAGGCTGGCAGAACAGCATCCGCCACAATCTGAGCCTCAACGAGTGCTTCATCAAGGTGCCGCGTGAAGGCGGGGGCGAACGGAAGGGAAATTACTGGACACTGGATCCAGCATGCGAGGACATGTTTGAGAAAGGGAACTACAGGAGAAGGCGGAGGATGAAGCGGCCTTTCAGACCCCCGCCGACCCATTTCCAGCCGGGGAAATCGCTCTTCGGCGGGGACGGATACGGCTACCTTTCACCACCGAAGTATCTGCAGTCCAGCTTCATGAATAACTCCTGGTCGCTTGGCCAGCCCCCGGCACCAATGCCCTACACGTCTTGTCAGATGGCAAGTGGCAACGTGAGTCCCGTCAATGTAAAAGGATTGTCAGCTCCCACATCCTACAATCCATACTCCCGGGTGCAAACCATGGCCCTTCCCAGCATGGTAAACTCCTACAACGGTATGAGCCATCACCACCATCCGCACGCCCACCATCCTCAGCAACTAAGCCCGGCCACGGCGGCTCCTCCTCCGGTGTCTTCTAGCAACGGAGCGGGCCTTCAGTTTGCCTGCTCCCGTCAACCCGCCGAGCTGTCAATGATGCACTGTTCATACTGGGATCACGACAGCAAACACTCCGCACTACATACACGGATTGACATTTAAAATTGTCTGAGGGAAGCTGTTCGAGCACACGGGACTTTCGAAGGGGGAAAGGCGGACTTCGAGAGTGTATTTTGAAGACAGAGTTTCTTTTATGGATTCGTGTATGTCCGCTAAAGCCACCATGTTATCGTTCTAGAGTTTTAAAAAAAGGAGTAACGCCCGAAACATTGCAGTTCATAGAGAACTTTGAGGAACTGGAAAAAGAGGAGCGTAAGGGGGACATTTTAAGGTCATCGTGCGCCTCCATGTTTCGCTGGGACAGAGGACCGTGTGTTTGTATGGTACTCTTGTGCAATTCGACCACTTCCCTTAGCGAGGGAATCAAGATTATAAATTGCTATTTAAGTACATCGTACATGTGTAAACTTCGGATGCAAGTTCTGTATGTGTTCACTCTGTGCAGAAATAGATTTGCACAGATCTAATTACCTACTGGCATATATAAGTCTGGCCCTTTCTGAAGTAATTTAAACCGTCACCTGTAAGCGAGTAGTATTTCAGTAAGTACTCCTATGCAAGTGAACTAACAAATCTGATTGGACGGACATATTCTAAGATGCCAGGTCATATTGTCAGATCTTAGTCTTGATATCAAGTTTGTCTTATTAGTGTTGTAATTTGGCGTGACTGAACCTTAGGCTGCAGCAGACATGAATATGAGATGGGTTTTTAGCAGAACCGAGGAGTCAAACGATGTGTACTTTGTTAGACCAAAGATGTACTGTTCATTCGGGGGTCGTTTATTTGTAGCTGTTGTGACCTCTATTAGAAGTCGCTAGTTTTCAGTAACATCATCCAGTGCCAGTTTTAACCTTTTTATTTTATAAACTTACTATTTTGTCTCATTCATGTTGGGACCATGTTAAACTAGCACTTTTGCTTTTTTTAGTACTGTTAATTTCTTAATAAACTTATTCCTTTCAAAGTATTACTTTGTAGTAATTATTGGTTTTGCAATTCAGTGGTGCTTTCGATTTTTTTCCCCGGTCGATATATTTCAATTTGCAGTAAACCAAAGCTAACTTAAAAAAAATCATCTTTAAAGTATATTATTATTGTATAGAGTTTCATATTGTTTTAATGCAATTACTATCACGCAAACTTAATAAATAGTGAGATTTAAAAAAATGTAAAATTACGCTAAATTTTGTTCTCATGTCGTCGAAATAGCTTCTCTAATGTTCATTCACGTTGCTGCTATAGATTTGAAGGCAGTTATAGCAAGCTGTTTCAGTTATTTAATATTTTGTACAAATACGGCAAAGTGACGTTTTTGGACAGCGAGAGTAAAAAGTACTAAGCTGGAAACGTTTACGACTCCTGTAGTTTAAGTCAGCCGTAAAGTTTTTGTTTACTCCTGTCTGTTTAGGTCTTCCTGCGTGCATATATTCATCTCAAGTGAATTATGGAATTATAAATACCGATTAGACTACAACTAATTTGCACTACGTTCCACAAATAATAAATCATAAATGCAAAGCTGCAAATTAATTTAAATTGGACTCTAGGCTGAAAGTGTTAGGAAATGTGATTATTTTGTAGGCCTGTCGCATTTCGTTTGAGATATTTGAATTAAGAAAGTGTACAGTAAAATTGAAATTTCATAATATGCGATTCTATTATATCAGGAACGTATTATTATTATTATTATTATTATTATTATTATTATTATTATTATTATTATTGTTATGCCTTCATATTTAATTGGGCTAATCGTTCAGTAATGATCACTACTATTTTTCATCAGGTTTAAAGACTTCGTTATCGCGTGGTGTTATCCCGTGCTATGTGCACGTAAGCATAGGCAGTCAAAACTCATTCGTATTCATCATACTGTCATACAGAGGGGTCTCTTTTGTAACCCCTGTTAAACAAATAACGGGGTGATATAAGGACAATATAATACAGCAATCTCTGGAGACGTCAGTGAAATGTAAAAATTATGACAATAGCCATTAACTTGATTCAATGCTCCTGTTAATATACAGAAGGATAATTTAACTATAGCGCTTACCGATAAATGTTATGCGAATCAGCAACCTGCATATTTTCGTCAGAAACCATTGCATGGGAGTAAAACAAACTCGTAGCAGGAACCTGATCTTTAGCCTTGTCCCCGCAGGCTCCATGTACTTGAAAAAGAACATTTTGAAAGAGAATAGAAAGTCGTACTAACAACTGCCAAATTGTAGCCATTGTCCCTGTTTTACGTGAAATACCCTGCAGTCACATTTGTGACAGCCCTCTGTCACATAAAACAACGATACTGTGATAATGACGATGATAATAATAACATTAATAACGAAAATAAGTATTGTAACAATTCTAGTAATTCTAAAATAATTCACACAAGCGACAAACATTATTTGTATTTTTGTTAGGCTAAACCAAAATGATTTATGATGGAATGCGCGGTAAAACCAAACCAAAACACGAAGAGTTAGATTTCCACAATCCTGGCACTGTTTGAAGTAGATGTTATTGACGGTATATTATAATCTGTTGGTGGGATGGGGGTGGAGATGGTTAAAATCAACCATTACCAATGACTATGGGTTTTTGCCCCTTTCTCGTGTTGTTATTTTGTTTTCCAGAATACTCACGTTATAGAGTTGTCTTCCTTACCTATAGCAAAAAAAACGTATTTTACACGTTACTCCCTCACCTCAATCATTCTTTACTGACATTCACGGGGAACGGTGACGTAAATTACAGGACGAAGCAATTTAACTGTTTCAGTATTCGGCCTAAATATATGACGGCGGAACCATTTGCCATGAAACATTTTGGAATAAAGCAAACAAATGAGCTCTTTATCAAATAATTGATATGTGCTACAAATACAAGAGGTCGTGTTTTATTGATTGGGATAGTTTAATGACGAGTTTATAAGACTATGCCGGTTTTTCATTGGATAACAGGAAAGACTGACAATATCGTCACTGATAAGAAGTAGTCAAACAGACTACAGAACTAAATATGTGTAATTATGTGCCGGTTAGTAGCAGACATGTTGCTAATAAGATAATAACAACGGAGAATTGTTAAGATCATGATATAAACATTACTTCTGAATACAATTTAAAAAAAAAACATTTATTATTAGAAATTAACACCTAGGTTCGCTGATGACTGTAACTTTCATTATTTGTGTAGCTCCGGATGTATGAAAGGTTTAAACTCTTTTATTATAATAATATTCGAAAAAAAAATTAGTAGACACTATCACTGTGTCAGCAACAATGTCGATAATAATAACAGCTCTATTAATGATGACATATTATTTATTGTGCTTTTTATAACAATTACACGAATGCGGTATTATGATTACGTTATATTATCCTCAGTTTTGAATACGTTATCGTTCATATGTATATTTAAATGATTTCATGTGAGTACAGTCATCTTTCGTAAAATGGGGGCCTTAGTGTAAAATATTAATTATAAACCGGAGAAAATTATCATTCGTTTATACTGAGAGTTTCCTTTATCCGCTGGTTTTGCTTTGTGGGCTTTCTTACATGTTCGTGATATTTCTAAGACGGTAAACATATGTCAAACAGTCAAACATCAGTTCATGAAAGCGAATATTGCAGTTTCAATGAATGTGCCCTCTTTTCTCCTTGCACGTAGCAAATTTGGGGGAAAGCTGAAATTAGGGCCAATATGTGTGTGTGTGTGTGTGTGTGTGCATATATATTTATATATATATAATGATTCGAATTCAAACATAAAACATAAAACTTTATAGTACTCTACTAACAGGACTAGGTTTGTATAATAAACAATAATTATTATTATACAAACATCCGCATAAAGCTAAGATATATATTAAACATCATATACTAACGCATCACGTGAATGTACACATCGCTAACTGTATTACATATTGCATTTACCGCATTGGTTATTTCTTTTTAAATTCTCCGTAATCTGTATCTGTAATATTGTTGATACTGGAGCGTATTATAACCTTGAAAAACAAGGAGACAATTCCATATTTACGTAGAATTTCTACGGATGAAATATGTTAACCTCTTGCTAATTTGCCAGCCTTTTAATACTTCTTTCCCTGCTGTTTTTTTTTATAGAAATAATATAGTGAGAAGTGGGATCAAGTTGAAAATGTTTGTGTTCTTTGGGATTTAAATGGATGAAGCGCCGTGAGCCTCGTTTGCCGCGGAATGGCTGCAGCGCATGAGATGTTCATTGTTTTAAAATTAACTTCCCCGTTGATGATTAAACGTTGGCGGTATTAGTGTTCAGTGTTATTGTCTTTTTTAGGGCATGTTGATACAATTGTTTCTTAACCATTCAGGCGATAAGGACACAGAAATGGCAGTAAATTTCCATTATTTTTATACATATGTGCGGATTGCAAACATCCAGGACAAATAGTGTAAATGTCAACATGAATCTTAAATGTGATAATAAAATAAATAAATGACGTCATACGTTAAATTGGCATATTAAAAATGAAATGTTCAACAACTGCTGTAGTTAGTCAGTTTTAGTAGAATATATTTCAGTTAATCATATATTATATGCAGTTGCTACAAATGTTTAAGTACTTGTTCATATAATGTAGTAACGCTAGAAATAAAACAGACGGAGAAGTAAAAACAAAAAAGAGATCACCGGCTGAATCAGGGATTCAGTAAAAAAAAAATAGGCATAATTCATAATGTAACATATCGACTAATTACGGCGGCCGCTAAGGTTTTACTGGGCTTAATAAGGAATTCGATGCTTATCAGTGAGCATTTGCGGACTATTCTTTGTTTATACTGAGAAATACCATGTATATGAATTTCAAAACGACGTAATGCTTGAATAGCAACAACAATAACAACTGTCTCTTATAATAATAACAATAATAATAATAACAACAACAATAATAATGAATGAACTATAATAATAATAATAATAACAAAACAATCATATATAATAAAAAAAATCAACAAATCAATTTTGTGATCTAATAAAATAGGAGCAAAATATATCCATTGAGCTGTTCATTGAGCTGACATTTTGTCAGACATTAGTGTCCTGGGCCGTTGTAATTTCCTTACAGTTGGTTCTCTTCTCTCACATAAAAGCGAGGGAGAGAGTGAGGGAGAGAGAGAGAGCACGGAGTGACTGAAGAACGGCCCACGATCCTTTGTTCTCTGTCAGAGTAAAGCAGGTGTGCACTTTTCGGCGCAGCTAGCCGGTCTCGAACAATGGACCTGCATGCAGGAAACCTTCAGAGCGGCTGCAGATAAGACAGGGCCGAATCAGGAATTCCTGAGCGCTGCGTCTACGAAAAACATATATTCAAATACAATAGTGGTATATTGTCAGCATCAGATGGAAGGGGAAACATAACCGTGCCCGCGAATATCAGCTGTACGAATTGGGCCCCTCCTCTTTTTCGGAAGCTATGTGTTTACCTAAATTACCCGTGGGGGTAATATAAATCACATATTACTCATGTTTTATAGAGTATAGGTCTGTACCTCACACCTAAAACGATTAAGAAAGATATTTTAGGGGTATAAGACAATAAGTTAGGAATGCGTGCTAGAATGACCATTGAAATGATTTATAAGAAAATAGTCAAATGAAGCATGCATAACTAGGATGTACTTAGCGTCTTTTCACTATGAAGTGTACTTTAGTTCTGTTTTTGCAAAGCATCAATATTACATTTCCTAACCAGAAAGAGGGGACCCTTTTTATGCAATTAGAAAGCAACCGAAGCGACGGAGGGTCACGCAGAGTTAAGACAATAATAATAAGCTGGTAAAAACAGTGTCACACGAATAGGAAATGACTGAGCTCTTTGAAGAGGGCGCTTCCTGCATTGGTCTGGCTTTTGATATGTTGCTTTCTGTCCGACTCAGATGGTGATCATACGCCGCCGTGAGGCGGTGCAGGAGAGGAATG